CGTCCTCGTTCTAGACCGTTCGAAATCGAAAAATCTGGGAATTAAGTGAAAGCCGGGCGGCTTTCGTGAAAGCCGGGCGGCTTTCGTGGTCTGCAGTTACGAGCAGCTCTTTTAAAGTGGCGGTTTCCGGCGATTTCAACTCCTATCGATTCCACGATTCTTCTAAGTTAATTACCAACACTTTATATCATTTTTCTACACTTTTAAACGTGTAGAACTCATGATTTACTCCACCATATGATTTCTTAAAAATCATACACCAATAATACTAGTTAAAGAGTAGAGTTGTGTTCTTACCTCTTCTTCTAGCTATATTTTCCTGGGTTCTTCTTTCTTGCTGCCTCCTCTGAGCTCTTGGTTGGTGATGGTTATCCCCAGAGCTTCTCCTCCCCTCTCTTGGCTTGAGTGGATCGTATGATTGGTATAGGAGTGGGGGAGTGTTTTTACTCCCAACTCAATCACTCATGTGATGAGTCCAAAAGGGAATTAATGGGTGGGTGTGGACTTTGTCTCCATGAGGCTTCCTCATGCACGCCCTCCCCCTTAGTTTGTCAATCTGGGCACCTAAAAACGTGGGGTGGCCCCCACTTATGTGGGAGGTCATCCCATTATGTCCCGGTATGTACAATCGGCCCCGAAAGTTGTATTCCTCGGCCCGTTTTAACGTTATTTTATTTTATCGGGCCAAATAAAATATATCACGTGTTCCTAATAATTATGGGCCTTTAGAATAGATGTACATTCCCCAAAATTAATTTAGGAGTCTCCGAAACTCATTCCGGGCTGTTATCCGCTGGATTACTACTACCGCTAATTGGGCCTCGTTTGACCCCCCCGGTCAACTTCATGCCCTTTCCATGACCCAACTAACATATCCACCACCATATACATATCATCTAGCTTAAGATGAATATAATATGTGGTTCAAGAATTTTCGGGCGGCCCCCGTTCCCGGCGTGGGCCCCACATGCAATTTACTATTCACGTAAAAGAAATAATAAATATTTACAATCACGCAAATTCTTAAATCGTCTTCGAGGTTTATTACATAATTTACTAAAAGTAAATATGCTCGGGGTCGGTGTTACACTGTCCCCCATCCTGCTCATCCGCCATATGTTGCACAACCTGAGCCAAATCCCGCATGGCGTGGGGGTTCATTCTTAATGCTTTGGGGATGAAAAAATCCCCATCGAAGTGTGGGTAGGATCCCCGGCAGGATTGCCCCTGGGGGGTCCGGCTTTCCCCACGTCTATCTGAAGTTCCTCCGATGTGATGAGAAGTAATTCTAACCATTTTGAAAATAGCTTTTTGTTTGGTGTGAAACTTTTTGTTCAGAGTTTCCCACAGACGGCGCCAATGTTGAGGCTTAATCCCGTAGATCCGAAAGTCCAACACATACTTTGGATATGAGGAAATGGATAATAATTCGGTATGTAAAAGAAATATAAAAGATCGATAATCGAATGCTCAAAAGCCCACTTGTATTAATTGACCTGTTTGATTACAAGGAAATTACCCGAACGGTACGTCGGATTGATGCTTAATACAAGAAACAAGAGTAATAAGGCTATTCTAGGGCTTGAGTATTAAAATGTTAACCCTTGCAATAATATTAAGCCTTCTATTTATACTAATGGAGAGTATGGGACGCTTTATGGTGATTGGCCGATGTTCCACCGACTTGATCACCCATGCCTCCACCTGCTGATGTCACAATCTGGCATTAATTGCACCTGGCCACCTGTTGGTTGTCCGTTGCCCGAACGAGATAATGGGCCCTGTGTAAAACATTGTTGATTTGGCCCAAGTATGATGTATGACTCGAACCCCATTCGGTATGTCTGTTTTCTGGGCCAGCCTTTACTTGGCTCGAACCTCGTCGGTATGAATATCTCACTGGGCCTACTTATCATAGGGTAGTGGGCTCGTTGTTTGGGCTGGATATCCTGGGTCTTTAATCCGGGTATTGGGCTTCCGGGCCATCCCAACACCTGCTATATAATTTTTCTTACTCACATTCATTATCACTCTATTCATATTGTATATGATAGTACTGTACATGTAAATGAGATCAAACCTATGAAGCACAAATACTTCACTAGGGTACCATATCAACGTATCGGAAACGTTCCAGTATCCGATATTCTAGGATACCTTTACCGCACGTTATCAGGCCGTATCTGCAGTTTTTAAAAGTTCTCTTTTTTTGGTAATTATTTTAAAATTTCGCATACTCGTATATATGAGTCGTATCCTGATGGATACATGTATCAACTTTTTAAAAAACACCCAAAATTTACATAATAAAATTCTTAAAAAATGAAAAGCTAAAAATAATTTTTATCTTGCTTTTATGGGGTACTCAACTAATGGGTATATTCCTAATTCACTCATCTCTAATTTACTCATCCTCCTTTCATATTATCAATACTTTCTCTTTATAAACATATAATCGATCAAAGTTAGACGTCGTTGACTTGAAAAGTCAAATTTGGCTAAGTAAAATAGAACGGAGGGAGTATAATTTTTGTACTATTATTATTTTGTTTATGAACCTCTGAATTATATAAAAATATAAAAAAAATTATTTTTTTTTTAAAAATACGAAAATAATAAAAATTAAAACAATATTTTTTTTAAAGTAAAATTTTTAAAAATAAATAAATAATAGATAAAACACCTTAAAAAATAAAAAAAAAATTATGGAGGCGTTTCCCACTGCCCAGCCAAGTGTCACCTGATCGGCTCAAAAAGTGTCATTTTGTGAAAAAACTGCCATTTGTTCTCTGAAAATGGCATGATGATGTCATTTTTACTGTTTGAAAATATCAACATTATCGAAAATTGCCATTAAGATGACATTTTTGAAAAATGTTGGCATTTATTCCAGTGATCAGAGCTGATTGTGCTGAGAGGTTGCTGAGGTGACAACCTAGGATTGCATATTTTTTATATTTTTTTTCATTTCTTTATTTATTTTATTTTAATTTTTTAATTTTTTAATTTTAAACTTTTTTATTTTTCAATTTTTTTATTTTTAATAATTTTATTTAATATATACTTCGTGTTTTTATTTTTATTTTTCCATTTTTATTATAAATAAAGTTATGTTATTACTTTTATATGTTAATTATTAATGAAATGTGAATTGTATACATAAAGTAAGGGTAAAATGTGAAAGCTAGTCCTGTTGAGAAATTCTCTCTACAATTTATAGAGGAATACTTTCTTGTATCTTTTTTCTGGGTAGTGTAATCATATTTCATAATAAATAAAGATACTACCTCTATCCCTTAAAACTTTATCAAAGTTGACCGGTACGGAGAATAATAAATTAAAAACTGTGTGGTTGAGGTTTGTGCAGAAGAGAGAGAAATAACAAAAACCACATAATAATTGATTAAAAGGGAAAGTGACAAAGTTTATTGGGCTGTCCCAAAAAAGAAAGATGACAAAATTTTAAGGAGCCAAAGAATACAACTTTTGACCTATGTCAAAAGCTCTTTTAACGCTTTGTCCTTGTAGCGGATTCAACAAAATCGGCAATTCAATTCTGCAAAACATGGTCTTATGTTTGTCTGGCCTTTTTCTTTTCTTTTGTTTTTCGAGAAAAATCAGGAGCAGGATAATACTGTTGACGCGGATATGGGGAGTGTGGTCTGGTTGGGATTTGAGAGAAGCTAGAATAGCGACGCGTGGAAGCTCCATTTAAACCCAATTTATTGAGGTTGGCTGGCTTCCCCCTATTTAATTACTCCTAGAAATATAAATTAATCCTATTTACATACTACGTACATACTACGGAGTATGCAGTAATCCCATCTATCGATAATTATTTCAATTTTTAATAATTTAAATTTACATATTCAGAAACTATATCAAAATCTATTCAAAGTTGCAAACTTCAAATTAGAAAATAATTAAAAATTGACATCCTAATTAATCAAATAAAATGAAACAGTTTGACCAAGAAAAGTCAAATTTGTAAATCAATTTGGGACGAAGGTAGTATATAATTACATTTAAAAACATTTTCATAAAGTTAAAATTTGGCTTCACTAAAGCTAAATGTGCTGGTCGAATGTGTAATTATCTAAAATAAATTGTATTTAGGATGTTTTCAATTCTAGACCAAATTAGATCAAACTTAAATAAATCAGATCAGATCAGATCATACTTCAATAGTTATAAAATATATCGAGTTCAAACATTTACTAGATCAAACTAGATCGGACCAGTTCAGACCAGAACAGACCATCAAATTTCAGTCTAAAAAAAATATCCTTATACATGCTCAACAGTATTTCGTATACTCATTTGCAATTATGGAAAATGATCAAGAATAGAGATAAGTTACATCTTACAGCACCTACACTGCTATTACACTATTACTTCACTACATGATTGTTTCAATATCAATTATCATTACAAATTTGGAATCTCGTAATAACTTGACAATGTTTAAGAAAGAATAACGTAAATGACTAAAACACAGTAAAAAGTGTAACACTTCATACACTAGTTATTATAAATTTATAATACAGTACTCCATATATAATACTCGTAATACTTGTCATTATCATTACTATATTCAATTTTTCAATATAATTGTCAGAATGTACACTTAGAATAACTTTATTTGTCGAGGGGCATAGCTCATTTGGTACTTAGGAGCGGGATCGGTCCAGTCCGGTCCGGGTTTTTTGCTAAACCCGGAAATTACCCGTAAGGTATCAGGTTGTGAAAATTAGGGACCGAAATAAAGCCCACTATATTCAGTCTGAGTCGTGTTTTTTATAGTCCGGGTTGGGTCCGGGTTCGGGTTGGGCCGGTTAAAGCTCGAATGTGAAATCGCTCATTTTTCTTTTATATTTTAAAATCTATTTTCAAATAAAATTAATAAAAAGTACAAATCGCAAATAAAATTAATAAAAAGTACAAATATTATACTCCAAAATCACCAAGAATTCAAATCCAAAGAAGACAATTATCATAATATTTTTTTTAAGATGCATAAAAATTAATAATATAGGTGTTCTAAAAATGTTATGAAATAAAATTTATGGATAAAAATGTGACTAAAGTTACTATAAATATGTTTTCATGGTCATTACGGTAAATTAATTGAACATATTTAGTCACTAAAAGTTATTAAGTCATTTTTTCATCCACCATTATTATAATCATATAATAGGAAACAATTTATAAATTATAGTGGTATATTATATTGATTTTATATTAAAGCTAATTGTTTCGGGTTTTTATCGGTCCGGGCAGGGGTTATAGATTTTAGGGCCCGTTAATGAGCCCGAAATTTTGGGTTCGATCCAGTATTTTTTATTCAGGCCAGTCAAAAAGAAAAAACTCGGACCGATATCATAATTCAGGCAGGACCAGGGCCGGTTTCTGGGTTTCGGTTCGGTTTTCCCCACCCCTAATTGGTAGATTGGGGTACAACAACATGCAAGTTTCGAGTTCAAATTCTGATAACTGCGATGAGACTTTACTATTTAAAAATGCACAAAAACTTTGCAAGTAATTGCAACAAAACCTAAGCATGTAATTAGACAGGTATATAATGAATAAGAACACTAACATACACTAACATAAAGCATTATAGTATTACCGACCCAAACTAACATTAAGGGAGTCTTTCGATTGATCGAGTGACAAACAAACCATAATGGAATCGATCATTTATATTATACAAGTATTCAACTTAAATCATGACGATCCAAAGAAAACTTAAATCATGCATAAAGTAGAGGTGATTTCCCAAAATACGGGAAAGGTTAACATCACGAAATAACGGGGATAAATTTAGGGTTTCCCAAATTACGGGAGTCGGATTCACATCTTCCGACTCGTGGAAGGCTTTTAAAAAATATTAATCCCAAATGTAGTCGGATTACCCTAATCCGACAAAACTATTTTTTTAATAATTCCTATCGGAATTACACATTCCGACCATCTTTTTTTTTTGAATTTAATTATTTGTTTTTGTATTGCACGAGTAGTAAGGTTAAGTTTATTATTAATTTGTATTATTGAATTTTAAAATGAAAAATGTCCTAGTCGGAATTGACCCTTCCAACTACAAACAATCCCCAATATTCTATTTAACACATCTTGCTATTCTATTTAAGGCATTCGTCCAACTAAAAATTGGAAATTCAAAATGGGTGTGAGTAAACAAATAATTTACCTCAAAAATTAAAAAAAAAAGATGTCGGATAGACGAATTCCGACAGGAGTAAAATGGAGTAGTTGATCCTGACTCCATAAAGTACATGCATATTTGGCTCAAATAGTTAAAAAGACATTAGATTTTGTAAACAGCGGTTAAAAGGAGAAATTAATAGTTGTTTGATAAGTTTAATTTAATGTATCTGATTTTGTTTAAGAAATTATTGCAAGGAGTAAAACATTATTTTCAAAATAAAACAAACCTACTCAAAATATTTAATTTCTCAAACAAAATAATACTAGTAATAATTTTTAGGAAGGTTCTTAAAAGTGTTGTCAAACGTGCAATTAAAACGTTATAGACACTCTTTAAATGGTACGTATTACAAAATTAAATGCAAAAGACTTGTAATTGATCTTTGGCGGACTACGAATATCTGTTGATGTGGTATTAGGAATCTCATTATGTTTCTCTTTTAGTACTGCGACATGTCACATAGTAGAACTTATTGTGTACGAAAAACTATGTGCAGTGTTTCTTCTAATGAATTGTTTCCAGACATTGAATAAATGCAATGTTTGTTAGCTGATCTCGGATAATAAAGTAATACTCCATCCTTCCCTTGTTTCAAAAAAGGTGGAATCTCCCACCTCGACCTGACAGGATGGTGGAGAAGTTAGTCACGGTGATTCAGTCAACAGAATGGCAGTAGGTTCATACACCCGTGCGCACCAGAGGCCCAGCCTTATTTCAGGTTCTGTGACCTCCACCCGTGCGGGTAATACTCTATCCTTCCCTTCCCTAAAGGATGACACCCCATCCCTGAGGCCCCCCAACCCCGATCGAACAGTACGTTGGGAGGATGTAAGTTGAACTATAATCCCAATCTGACAGATAGAGAGTGAGGCTCTGTAAAGGCGAGGGGGACTTGTAGGGTTTTACCTTATCTATAGAAATGCTGGATTTTTTGCATTACTCGATAAATTAAGAAGATTTCCCTTTTATTTGATTTATCCAACCGTTTTTGTCACAATGACAATCACCGTTGTCCCTTTTTTGTCTGATTTTTTTATCTACCTCGGTTCTTCTTCATTTTCAGGCCAGTCCACAGACTGTTTCTTGAGATAAAATTACCAAAATACGGGGTTTGCCATCTGACAAAATTACGGGAGTCAGATTTGGAGAATCCGACTAGGGTAGGGCTTCCGAATTAGGGCTTGGATAAAGCGAATACGTTGTCGTAATTGGGGAATTCGACAAGGGGAATGCAAAAAATTAAATAAACACCTAGTCGGAATTGGGGAATCCGACTAGGGGAATTGTGATAAATTTTTATTTTTTCAAATCGCATACGTTTTTATTTGTTGTTTGTTGTTCATTTATTTTAGCAACAATATGGTCGGAATTGGTGAATCTGACAAGGTTTTTATGGTTGTGAAATATTTTACGTGTTTAATTTGTGGCCTAGCTTTTTACCAAACTCCAACCACAACAACTCCTATAAAATCCGTTGATTTGTTCTCAAAATTTTCAAGCACACTCCAAAAACACATCTCTCTCTCTAATATATTCATTACTACCCCCGTCCCGGAATTATCTCCTTATTTGACTGGGCACGGGTTTTAAGATAGTGGAAAATGTGCTGTGGAGAGTTGTGCAGAGGAAAGAGAAATGTGTAATATGGTTGTGAACCACAAATTCTTTGTCAAAAAAGGAAAGAGGAGATAAATTTGGGACGGACCGAAAAGGAAAGAATGAAGATAATTCCGGGACGGAGGGAGTATTTTTTGTTTAGGCACTGTCTTCGCATTTAACAATGTCCACCGAGGGCAATACTATTGTTATGGTTCATTGGAATAGCTCTACATCTCAAAAAGATGATGAAATAGAGTACTCCATACCTCCTAGGGCGGTACTATTCATTAGTGAAGGAGATAATTATACTACTCCTAGGGAGTAGTATACATGAGAATGTTCTAAATCATGTTAGAGGCGACGGATTTTCCAGAGTTAAATTAATTTTTACAGAAAATTGCCAAAATATAAGAATTCGGTATATGTTACTTCTAGATTATGGTTCATCCACAATGAGCAGACATGGCGTCATTTTTTCCGGATCGCTAAAAATAAGTATGAGCAATTGCACAATTACGTGGAAGCTTCAGCGACCCCACCACAAAATTTAACGTTCCACGGAACTCCCGGAGAGGAAGGCCCATCATCAGTATATTGTCGGAGGAACAACCGCCAAACGTTTCAGAACTCCCGGAGAGGAAGGCCCATCATCAAACTATTCCCGGTATGTATTGTTCAAGTTAATTTAGTAATTTGTAAAAAATTTAGATTAGATTGTTAAATTGGAATTTTAGAGTTAAATTTGGCTATATATAATTGATCGTTGTATAATCAATAATTAGACATCATAGGCTTATCTTAAATACTATATCATAATGAATATATATCACTGATATTAGTAACATATGTATTACTTAGTGTATTATATACTTCGGATATAATAAAAGTATATATTATCTCTACTATAATATATTGCGGCTAAGTTGATAATAATAGAACCATAATCAACGTGGTGTAATCTAAAAAAAATATTTGTAAATGCATTGTAATAAACAAATCGTTGTGATATATTAAATAATACTAATATCATGCATAATTAGGCTAATTAATTACTCTATAATTTAATATATTTATAATAATATTACGCGTGTCTCATTAATTATATGTGATTGATATATTACTTATATTAATTATATATTTACGATATTGATTTAGACGGAGATAGTATCACTTCGTTAAAAAAACTATATATAGATCTCTAACTTATAATTTGCATTAATTAATTTTTTTAGGAGTGTAGAAGTAGTAGATTTAGTAATTTGTAAATTTTTTAATTTAGATTGTTAAATTTGAATTTTAGAGTTAAATTTAGCTATAAAATACTTGAAAGTTAGAAAGAGTGTTAAATTTAGAATTGCCTTAAATTTCGGTTTTAGGAGTGTAGAAGTAGTTAATTTAGTAATTTGTAAATTTTTTAATTTAGATTGTTAAATTGGAATTTTGGAGTTAAATTTGGCTATAAAGTACTTGAAAGTTAGAAAGTGTGTTAAATTTAGAATTTGCCTTAACTTTTGGTTTAAGGAGTATAGAAGTAGTTAATTTAATAATTTGATTTTTTTTTTTAATTTTGATTTGTGAAATTGGAATTTTAATTTAGTGTATATTATTCTTAATATATCATTGTAATTCAGATACAAATATTATCGAATTTTAACAGATAAAATTTGAACGGAGAAATATAATCAAATAAATTTTATCGGATAAAATTTATCTGATTATATTTCCTTTATATCTCTCGCATCTACCGCATATACCAAATTCATTATTCTGTACATCCATATATGTACAAATTCATTAATGTCCTTTATCTTTATCTGTGTCTTTGGTATTTGTCAGAGTCCAACTGCATTGAGTCCAACTGCATTGAAACGAAAACATATTTAGATTTTAAATGTAAATAAAAAATGAATTTTAATGCTGTCGGAATTCTCAAATCCGACATGGGTTTTTTATAGAAATTTTTATATGGCTATTTTTAGTGCTGTCGAATTAAAATGTGAAAAAAAATCTTCCTGTCGGAAAGCCGAATTCCAACTAGGGGGTGTTTTTAAGAAATATTTTGTTTTATTTTAAGAAATTATATAAATTAAATTTGATAAACTACATTGTTATTTTATTTTGTTTAAACCATAACTTTAGAAGTATTTATTTTAGTAATTTCTAACTCATTCAATTAGATAAACTTGCATTTTATAATATAACGCGTTTAAACAAAATTTGACCCATTAAGTCATATATGAATTCAAAAATAAATTAAGTTATAACATATTCAAAGTCCATTTTATAACATTCAAATAAAATGTTATTTATTTTTTGTAGTAGATAATAATATTGAAATTTATGAATGTATCTACTTTGTACAGTCATAAACTCGGGTGAAGAGTCGGATGACCCTGACTATGAACAAGGTTTTAGTAGTGATGCGTATTCATCCACAAGCGATGATGGTGACGAGGAAGTAGACACTACCTGGGCCAATGTGGAGCTACAAGAATCATATGTTGAACCCGACGCAGTTTACTCTTCATATGATGTACTGAAAGAAGCGATGGCGAGAGAAAACATTCGTCAATTTTCGTCAATTCAGAACGGATGACAAAAGGTCACGGTCCTGGAAGGCGGTTTGCATAGACCCGACCCTTTGCACTTGACATATCCAAGCAGGAGAAGGTATGACGTCAAAAAAGTGGAAAGTAAAAAAATATCAACCCCATCACAGTTTTAGGGAGGATCCTAAAATGGTTCGGGATGACAGGATCCTAACGGCCAAGATCATATCCAGTGAAATCGCTCCAAAAGTCAAAGTCGACCCGGACTACAACATTAAACTGATAATGTCAGACACATATGAAAAATTTAATATCCGTGTTTCATATAAAAAGGCTTGGAATGGACGCCTGATCGCTCTGCAGCGTAAATTCGGCAATTGGGAGGCGTCATATAATGAACTTCCTATGTTGTTGGAAGCTATACAGTTTTCAAATCCGGGGACTGTTGTTCATTTGCAATCACAACAGACCGACACTCCTCATACGTCCGAATTCCGCCCAATGTTCTGGTCATTCAAAGCTTCTATAGATGGTTTCAGATTTTGCTTACCCGTAGTCTCGGTTGATGGCACTCACTTATATGGCAAATACAAGAGGGTTCTTCTAGTTGCGGTAGCCATGAACGCTAACCGTGAGATATTTCCTCTTGCACATGATGTTGTTGAGAGTGAGAATGCTGATAGTTGGTCATGGTTCTTTGTAAGGGTTATGTGTGATGTGGTTGGAAGTCATCGTAGTGTGTGCGTTATCTCCGATCGTCATGCATGAATTGAAAGTGCATTTAGAGCTTGCCAGAGTTGAGATCGCCACAAGTTTCAAAGTGTTATTGCCTCCGTCACATACGGAGTAATTTCATGACCAAGTTTAGGAACACGGAACTGAAAAAATTATGTTGGCAAGCTGGTAGCACTCCCACAGAACAAGAATTTCACGAGTGTATGGAACAAATACGAGGCGTAAATGAGAGTGCCTTTCTATATTTGAATGAGATTCCTGTTGAGATGTGGGCCCTGAGCTATGACGATGACAAAAGATATGACATTTTGACGACAAACCTTTCTGAAAGTTTTAACAATGTCTTAAAGGGATGCCGCACATTGCCTATCACAGCACTAGTAAAGGCCACATTCGATAAAGTCGTCCAACTATTTGCCGATCGACGAAATGTGGGAATAATGTGGCACCAAGCTGGATTCTTGTATCCACAGAACATATGGAAGGATGTTCTTGAGCGGTCACAGCGTAGGTATCACACAACTATTGTCCCGCACAATCGATTTCTTCGGCAGTTCCATATAAGACAATATACTCTGAATGCTCCTTTGGCGGGTACTGATAATCACGACAATCGTTCCAACATAGTAGCTGGTGCCTTGACGTTGTGGGTGGACATACAACATAATATATACTTTCTTGATTATTATCAACATATGTCCCTCGAAGCAACTAATAGGTACCGAAAATGGTACAAGAAGCATGGTATGACACGTGTCCAGAACCCTTCTCACAATGTGCCCATGACAGGCTACACCCCGACAACACACAATTGGGGTATTGTGGTAAGTTTTGAAATACATACCATATTCATTAACATATATCGTGTTATATTATTTACACGTGTTACATTTTTATGCAGAAGCAAGGCGTGCACGATGTGTATCAACTCTTAGCCAACCGCGCGAGTTTTGAGGACTGTCAAAAATGACTACGGCGGATGGCTCTGGACGTAGGTGATGAAGAGATGCTCCACCGGGGCATATTCCATTATGAAGATGAAGATGAAGGTGGAAGTGACGAAGAGGATGATGCAGATGAACATCAAGGTGGGGGTGAGCACTCACAATCACCCCTCAATTCTCAACACAAAGTGTCTCATTTGATCAACCTCCCCCTCAATTCTCAACGCATCAAGGTGTCTCATTTGATCAACCACCGCCGTATTATGATTCTTATCAGTACTCCACACAAGCGGGTGATTATGTTGAGTCATTTCTGAATTCGTCGTTTTACTATGGAGACACAACGGGGCCTTGGAACACTAGCGGTGGGGACGGAGCAGGGCCGAGCACGCAACGTTAGATGTAGTATTGAATTTAATATTGTATGTACTATCTATTCAGTAATAAATTACGTTGAAAACTACATTTGTTTTGTTCACTTCCATTAAAATTACAAAAATTGCACTTAAAACAAAATCAAATTTGTATCTCATTTGACGAATGGATTAAATCAAAATTGCACTTAAAATCACAAAAATTGAAATTAAAACAGAATTCACAATACAAATGGATTAAAAACAATAGAAAGCAATCAAATGTTTTGTTACTCAAAAAATTAAAATGCTAAGTTTTCATTTAAAAAAATATGTCAGGAATCTAAAAAAACTTTTAAATTTGGAAAGGATAGAATTTAAAACTTTTAGTTTTTAAAACTTTGAAAATAAAAAACTTAACAATTCGGCAAAAAAAATAGAAAAACTCCTAGTCGGAAGTGGCTAATCCGACAGGAGGGGAGGTTTTTTTCGGAAACCCTACCTCTAGTCGGAAATGGTTGTTCCGACTCCACCTTTTTCGTAAACCCCAAAAAAAAACCCGTATTTTGGCAACCCCATCCCACTTTTCTTGTCTTTTGGTAAATCACCCGTTTCTTCATCGCTCTTCTCTGTCTTTTTCCTACAATTCCAGAAATCTGGGTTTTCAGCAATTTTAGGGTTTTGTGGCGCTAAGCTGACCCCGAAATCACATTTGCCTAAAATCTTGTACATGTGAGCTCGAAGTCGAGCCTGGAGGTACGTAGATTCCCTCCTGGTTTTGCAAATAGAGCCATGTTTGGGTCTTAGGTTTTGTTTGGCATAACAAGCTGTAGCTGGAGACTAATGTCTGAATTAGTGACTATTGTGTGAACGGAAGGCTGATGTCTGAAACTGAACTTCCAATTGGTGAAACTGAAATAGTAACTGAATGAAGTAGACCCGTTTGTTAAAAAGAGCTGAAAATGTGTCTGAAAAAAGAAAAATTACATCTATTAAAACAAAAACTTACTCCATATTATATAAGACCATTTTGTATCTTGTTATAAATAATAAATTTACGATGTCATTGCAGGGTGTCTATTCACATGAAAACTGATTAAAAAGAACAATGCACCCTAACAAATAATCACCGTCATTAGATTCATAAGCTATGCGTTCAAATAGATAGTTTTACCTTTTGAAAAAAACATATTTTAAAAATCTACAAGACTCCTGAAAAAATTTGTTTGCAAAAACAATAACAAAGAAGCGAAGTATCCATCACAATTAATCAGTTATTGGATTAAAGTAGAAATGTCATACGGCCATACCTAAAAAATTGGATGGATAGGTGATACAAATTTTGCAGCCATAAATACTAGATTATCGGCAAAAGTTATAGGGATAAATTAGGGATTCATTTAACCGACTGCAATGAAAAGCTTCACACATTAACGTTTATATTCAGCCTCTACATTTCAGTTTAAACTTAGATCAGCCCTTTCACCAAACAAGGCTACTTTTTCAATAACCAGCCGAAATTTAGAAAATTCAGCTGATTTGGAGCTGAAATCCGCTGCCAAACATAGCTTTAATCGCTTTGGAACGTACCTTAGGTTTGCTTCATTGTCAGTCATGTCAACTGTTATCTTCTCTTAGGCTATGACGTAGACGCGGGTGAAGGCCTAAAAGGGAGATCGACATCAACGAGGATTCCGACGAATACCAGAGGGTTGCCGGTGGTTTGAGCGATTGCGAAGGGTGCCGTTCGTTGTTGGCCAGGAAACGCGGCATCGTTTGACGGACATGCGAAGGAGCTTGATCCGGTGAGGAGGCATCAAGTGCAATAGCATCGTGGGATTATTGGGCCGTCAGGGCTGTGGATGGTGAGGTAGATTGTTGTTAGGCCCGACGTTGTTCTTCCGTGCGGAGTTGTGACCGGGCGGTTCTAAACGCGGGCATGGACTGAGAGATGAAAGAGGCAACAATATTCTATTCAGGTGGCAGTTGTCACGGACTAATTCTCAAACCCGTGTTACACTAGCGCACACACTCATTGACAAGCTGGATTACAAGGCGTTTTTCATTCATAGAAAAATCCAATTCTTGAAGCCAGTGAGAAAGAGTTTTGAGTTTGTCACATTAGTCATCCACATCCGAGCAATCGGTAAACTTGAGATTAACAAATTTACTTTCGAGGAGAGCTGCACGGGTACCCTTGTTCTCCTGGAACAAGGTGTTAAGACCCGGGGTTCCATCCTAAAAGGTCAACCCGATAGGAGGAGTAGCCCATATCTTAATATAGCACTTCGTTGGCTCAAACATTTCCGGTGTGGGATTTAACACCCCTCCTCACGACCAGACTCTTTGTCTGGATCGTGTTGTCATTCATTTTTTTCGTTAATTCGTCATTGTCATTTTTTTTATAATCCTGTCAATCATTTTTCATAAGAAGGCCCACACCATGGATCGATTTAATTGGCTCTGATATCATGTTAAGACCCGAGGTTCCATCCTAAAAGGTCAACCTGATAGGAGGAGTAGCTCATGTCTTAATATAGCACTTCGTTGGCTCAAACATTTCTGGTGTGGGATTTAACACAAGATTTTGAGACGATCCCACAGATCATTGGCAGTAGTACCGGATTTGAGGACGGTAAGCATTAGTTCTTTGGACATGGTAGAAAACATCCATCAACAAACCAACACATCAGTTTTTGTGTAGGGCTATCAATGGTGCTGGGGGCACCATCACCTTCGATGAGGAACATCATATTATGAGCCTGGAGATGAAGCTCAAACAAGAAAACCCCAGAGAGCAGGATGAATTGATGTTCTTGGAGAAGAAGTGTCTCCAACCATAGTGACAGGGAGGTGAGACGCAGGAAAAAAAATGAAGGAGGCTGGACCGACTTAGTCTGATACCATAAAAGAGTATAAAATTCCTCGAGTAAAACCTTTATATGGTCTCAATTTATACAAGAGTGAGGAGAGTATTAAAGGAAGGAGAAATAAATACAAGAGGATTTTGTGTGATATACAAATCAATAAATAATTACAAATCAAATAATTATGTGAAGTAATCTTATCTAAATATATTAGTCTTTTAATTTGTTGTCATATTTAAGTTATTAATTTTGTATGATAAAAAAAAGTTATTGATTTTGTCTCTACTATTATTATATACGAAGTATACGGAATATATATATGGGAGTGAACATTCTTTTACCAAATTAGAAGTATATATATAATAATTATTACTTTATTTTCATATTAAGCGGGAACTTTAGAGTCAAAAATTGTAGCAGTCTGCTATATTAATTATATTATTATATAAAGATAAAGACATGTAATACTACGTATACAATAAACCAAATCTTACTCTTCAATCCACTTTCATAATTTCTAGACACACAAGAAGCATCTATATAAACATTTATGGTGGTTAATTTAAAAAAGAAACTACAAGCTGCTTACCTCTTGGAAGGAGGAGAGTACGTACCGTAGGGCAACACAGATAGACAAGATATGTAGTGGTGATATGCTTCAGGATTTAATTTGTGTTTTTAAATAGGAGAGGAAACCTGTTTTTTGCCGTCAAGTTTTTCTTTTGCTACCATCCGCTAGTCTTCAATCGTAAAGAAGGTTTAAATTGTAAATACGTTTTCTACGTATTAGTTTTTTTTTACCTCTCGTATAAGTGAATGTACAGTAGTTTACTACGCTCCTTCAGCTCCAAGTAAAGTATAGTATAGGTACAATTTAAAATGTTTTAAAAAATGTTCTACAATTTACACGAAATAATTAAAACAAGCAGTGTAACATGTTTACACCCCCATACTTTACACGCAAAGTGTTTACTTTACGTCATACCAAGTAATTATCTACGTATTTAAAAACTTTGAATCCAATCGATCGTTCTAGTTATCAGATTTTTTCAATTCGTTTTTAGCGCGAGTTTCCAGAGAAAATGCGGGAGCAAAAACCTCTCTATAAAACTCGTTATTTCAACTTTTTGAGAAATTGAAAACGCTAAACTAAGTCAAACAATCATTTTGTTACGAGTTTATATGGATTTTATCCCCATAAATCATTTTGACATAAAATCCATATAAATCTGTAACACATTTAACTTGCTAGACCATGGGCTTGAAAATTGAAAACCAATTAAGAGTGGAAATTTCAGATAAAAAAGTGGCTTTCACACATAGATCATTATCCCAACAAATATGATTAAATTATGTCCGGGCCGGGTGAACAACGTTGGTGGGATGCAAATAGATTCGTCATACATAACGTCAACAAGTGAGATCACAAGTGAGGAATGAAGACAAGTCACAAGCATGTGGGTCCCATGCGGCCAATTGATCAATATAAATTGACCAACTCAGCTCATAGTAATTCAATTTGCCAGCTCGATCGATCAATATGTTATTTAAGATGGTCAGGAGAACACCGCCGCCGCATCAGCTTGTTTTGATGTGCTTTGTGGCGTTTCTTTTCCTCTCCACTACTCGAGTCATGCATCTGTTGGGTACGGACGGCGGTGTGATCATTGGAACCCCGTCGAAGCCAACCGCAATTCGAACACTACATGTTCGGCATCTAGCACGGCGGGATCGAGGAAAGCGTTGTAAGTGCAAACCATAAATGAAAGTATACCGTACACCCGATTTATACGGAGCTCACCGTACAATTGGATATTTTATCTCACACGTAATGAGTCGTATCACGTTATAAGGAAATGAGCATTAGTATTAAATCGTTGTATTGGTAACACAATTGAATATGACAAGTGTGCAATTGAGTATCATGATCTACACGTAATATATATGCTACAATTTAACTTATTCACCTAATTATATTATCATAAAAATTATTTGTGTACTAATTTTATTTGTGTACTAATTTTATCATTTAACTATATAATCATGAGGTATAAGTTAAAATACTCGCTTGTACTGTGTGCATGGTACAACGTAACCGGTTGTATCATATAATTTAGAAAGATTTCCCAAAATAGGAGCTTAGTAAATGGAGGTTGAAATTCTAAAATATGACTATTATGTTTTTATTTTCGAAATGGGACTAACATGACAGTATTTACTGTCATTTGTAGGCGTGACTTTCAAATACTTACAGTACAGTGCATTTTGCATTACACTATTTATTACTTGTATAATTAATGACATTATTTTTCAATCATGTTAATATTTTTCATACATGACAGTAACAACTCCTATTTCGAGAAGAAAAACATACTAGTATTATTTTGGAATTTCAAATCTCATTTGCTCCGATTTTGTGCTATTTCCATATAATTCACGACCATATATGGGCGTACATACACGGTAGTATAATAAGTACTGCATAGTACGTACGTAGTAGTATGTATTGATCCAAATTTTTAAAGGCCGGGCCGGCTTTTTACAAAATTAAGCCACCCCCATTTTTAAAAAGATAATCTCTAAATGCAAAACCACAAGGACAAAGTTTTTTTAGATTTTCAATCAATATTTAAAAGGTACTTCCTCCGGGTCTTATTTAAGTTCTTAGTTTGACTTCACACATATTAAGAAAATGAATTTGATTTTACTGTGGAGTGCGCTGTTTGGCACTGTTTGGACACTGTTTGACACTGTTTGGCACTGTTTTGCACTGTTTTGTTTCCTAAAATGGAAGTGTGAACTTAAATAAGGGACATCCCAAAAAGAAAAGTGGGAACTTTAATAAGTCCGGAGGGAGTAGATTCTATGGTACCCATAAGGTACCATACCTTTGTCCACATGGACCAATAAGAAGGACCAATAAGAATGATGTAGTTGAATTATTTAAATCTAAATTAAAAATGATGTGATGATTTGAACCAATCAAGTGAGTGGTAGGTACGGTACCCCATTTTTTAAATGGGTACCGAAGTTGTCACCTATTTAAAATATTTGTCAACTTTTTCCCCTTGGAATCAACTGAGAGTGGATCATGCATCACCGGCCACGCCATTGAAGCCATGACGATACATGGATCGGAGCTTATATATACATGTGTTACAACCACACGTGCAGATGTTCGTTAACTCGTGTACTACTACTGTGTTGAAGTATTTTTCATTCCAATAAAATATGAATAAATAAACTCTACATAAAAATGTCGAATTATCACCGTGATGAGGTTGATATTTTTGAATGAATTTGAATATTATTTGTTGTATTCTCTATCTTTGATTTGAAGGTTCTATTCACATTACCTTCAATTATATATGTACTCTAGTAGTCGTGGTTCTTATGTATTCATGCATTATACTCAGGTTAAATAAAATAAATAAACCTGTTGTTTTTATTTTCAAAAATATTATTAAAATAATAAAACTTATTTACACAAATAGGGACTAATAATTACTACAATGTGATGTCATGGTGACTTAAGTTTAAAAATTGAACATAAGTTACTATAATTTCATTACTAGTCAATAATCACGTTTTTGTAAACAATTTTTATTTTAGTCATAAATATATCATTATTTCTTGTTTTTAGAGGATATAAAGTGGTTGTTATGTATTCGTTATATATAGCAGTTAAATAAATAAATATAAATACGTACGTTGGTTGAATTGGAAAGGTTTTGGGACGAACTATCCGTGAAGTATTAATTAAGGACTCAATAGCAAGCCTAGCATCAAGCTCATTATATGGAAATAAACAAATACGGGTAAGTGTAAGGATATTTTCTTTTGGAGTCCTAGACAAGATCAAGATCAGATCAGATCAAGGGCGGATCCAGAAAGTTACAATGGGGTGGTTCGAGAGAAAAAATTGAAACACTTTAATTGATTAATAATACGACAAGTTATCAACACTTTAAATATTCATTATAAAACATTACTTAAGTTGTGTCCTACGCGACTTAAAAGTTTAAAATTCATCAATAATAGAATCTACATCTATATTGTTGACAAAATCTCTTTCAAGAGAATTTATTTTTAAAAAAAAGTTTCAATATTGGTATGAATTAAAATACTTCTATAAAAATATAAAATTATAAAGTAATAAGAGAAAAAAATCGTTGTACATAAAACTAATAAGTATTCCCAATTTCAAAATTTAATTAAAATTTTTAATTTTTCTTACTTGTCCACACAATAAATACATTATTCTCTAATCTTCAATTGTATAATCAATAAATAAATCTCTAAGAATTAATTCTATCTTTAATCATTATAAATCTATAATGAATTTTTGCCCTATTTTATTATGCAATGAAAATTCAACTAATAATTAAATTGATTAACTAACGGACTAACAAGTTAACAGTCTTAAGTCTTAACACAATCACAAAATAGTAGAGTAAGAAATTTAAAAAAAAACTCACCTGCGCCAGAGCTGGAGGAAGAGCCGAGAGGCGAGAGAGGAAGGATGCTAGAGTCTGGACGGCCGACGACGCAGCGGCTTGGTCGCCTGGACGGCTGCAGTGCGGCGTGGACAGCTGAGGGTCGCAGGTCACATGTTGGAGTGCCGGTTGTCGCAAGCTGCCAAGTTCTTGGTTCTTCTGAGCTGTGGGTTGGGAATTAATTTTGGGGTGCGCTGGGAATTAATTCTAGGGTAAAAGTTGATAACTAAACTTGTACCTATATTAATAAAAAAATTGGGCTAGACTGGAGTCTGCCTCTGCTCTCACAGCCATCCGCCCCTGTATCAAACCAACTTTGTACGTTATATTCATGATATGTCTGGTACCCCGTAAAAGGTAAAACAAAATTTTACATATTATTTTTAAATAAAGTATTATTTAAATACTATTATTCCATAATTCAATATATCGGAGGTGTTCGGCAAATGGTGTTTCAGCCTAAAAAATGGCGGCTTAACCACTTTTAGCGTTTTCTCAATAAGTGAAAATAATGTTTGCTAAAGCTTTTAACGTACACTAGCGTTTTTGGATGCAAGCGCTAAAATGGAAATGCTGCAAATAGAAGAGTTTCAGATTAGCGTTTTAAAATATTGCGTTTTCTACTAATTTTATGGCTAAACATCTAAATTACCAAACATCTTCTCACAATCCACCAACTTATTCCACTAGTCAAATTCACTGATTGAATCCGCTATAGACAACCCACTAGGATAATCTGTTATCCGCTAAATATGCCAAAT